AATTTTCTCCAAAGTGATTCCTGGTGAGCACCAATATGTAACTTCAAATTTGCTGCTCAAAATCAAAACTAAAAAAGGAAACCCATTCCCTGCAATATTTAAGATTTGTTCATTACTGGTATTCATAAAATGTTGTGTAAATGTAATGAAAAGCTGTTGATTCTTATCTCATACGGTGATAGTGTAGTCCCAAACTGTTGACTATATATGGGTTATGAATGCATTTTATCCTATAAAGTGGGTGTCTATTTACAGTATATACACCTATGTACAGTTTCATGATGTCGAATGTTTATTTTCTCTTCATTTTAAGCTTTTTAGCAAGAGCTAAAAGCTTGTTGGTCCTCTCTGTCTTTTTCTCTCTTTTTAGCCAACTCCTCCTGTTTTTTTCACATGCTCCAGCCTTGCTTTCTTCTGCTCCCTGTCCAATTCATCCGCACTTGAGATCGAGTAGTTACTTTTGAGAAGAAATGTCTGTTTTCGGCATTTCACCGAGGTTGCGTGACTCTGAAAAGCTTTCCATCCTCTCGATCCGTATAGAACAATGACGGATGCTGGTCTATCAAGGAGGGGAAGCTCAATTTTGGCCTACATCATAAAATGTGTCGGTTTATTTATACGTGAATTCTACTCTCCATTCCTTTTCAAAAAAAATGAAAAGGATGCCTTCACCATAAGATCGGTCGGTGATTGGCTCATTTCGCTGTCAATCAAAAAGAGATTCAGCCTCAGACAGATCATCCAATAATAAAACCCACCAGAAATTAAAGATTAAGTTGTCACTAGTCGTTTTCAACAAAGAGTGTCGCTCAGATGATTAGAAGAAGTCTCCAGTTCAACTCAGAACAGAATAAGAATTGAAAAATGCTCCCACGATGCCTACACCAAAAGATCGGTGATTGGCTCATTTCACTGTCAATCAAAAAGAGATTCAGCCTCAGACAGATCATCCAATCATCATGCAGAAAAGCTGAGCTTCCCGGCCAGCCTATAAACGCCCCCTGTCCATAGACTCCCAGAGACGCTGATCGTCCAATGGGCGGGACAAAACCAGCATTTATCCAATGACTCGTCTTGTTTCAATGTATTGGGACAACCTACATTGAACTCTCTAGACACCCAGCGTCCGCGCTGTAGACGCTCAGCGTCCACACGGTTTAAAGCACAATGAAGCTGCAGAAAAAATGTGTGAGAAGAGAGTCGCATCGTAACCAGTCTTAAGAAGCTGATTCGGAACAAAAGTTGAGCGTGTTTAGTGCATATTTAGTCAATGACATGTAAACACAATTATATGTACACACATATATATGATCACTTATTTTTTGACATTTTAGGGGAAGCTGAGCTTCCCTTGCAGTCTTAGAGCAATCGCCTCTGGCCTGAACCCACTCAGTAAAATCATAACCAAGAGTGATTTCGCGTACCGGTTCAAAAGTGGAAAAACGATCAGCATGGATTACATCAAGCTGTATGTTAAGAACGAACGTGACATTGACTCAATGATTCACCTCAGAAGGACATACAGCAATGACATCGGAATGTCATTCGGACTAGATAAGTGTGGCCGAATGATATCTAAGTGAGGGAAAATAATCACAACTGAAGGGATTGAACTACCTGAAAGCAGCCAGCGTATGTGCAGGATAGCAACAAGTACCTTGGAATTCCACAGGCAAATTGCATTCATGAAGAAGTAGCTCAGAGGGCGGCCACGGCCAAATACCTAATGCGGGTGAGGCAGATCCTCACCAGTCACCTCAACAGTAAGACTAAGATCCAGGCCCTGAACACCTATGCCTTGCCAGTAATCATATACCCTGGCCACTGGAAGAGATGCAACCCACTGATACCAAGACAAGAAAGCTTCTCAAATGGAAGGAAAGAGCGAGGCCGAGGACGAGTGAGCATCCAGGACACTATCCAGGAGGAAACAACAGGCCTCCAAGAATACATCATGATGATGGCCCTCAAGGATGACCTGCTTAGTGAATGCCTCAAGCAACACAAGTGCAGTAAGGAGAAGGAGCCAGATGGGCTGCAATGGAAAGACAAGTACGCGCAGCACGTTGACATCAATGCTCATGTGAATGCTCAACTAAATATGACTGTATCGGCTGAAATTCTCACAGTCCTACTTATTTGCCACCACACACTGATGGGTGGGAACTGCACGTAAACGTCATAACAGCACTCCAATGTCCAAAAGCACTCCAAGATTGTAAATAATTTGCACAAAACTTAAATTTTAATTTCACATTTTCACTTATACTGTACTTCCTTGCAACAAAATATTTGTTGTTAATGATACATGTGGAGCACCGTATTAGTCCTTTTAGTTGCATTCAAATGAATTGGAATAGGATCCTTCTTTGTTTCATCCAGTAAGCACTTCAATTAATCATTTGGAGTTCACTGTCCAGTGAAGTAACGCACTTCACTCCATCCAGGCAGCCTGCAATGATTATTTTAAATCCACCAGATGTCACTATTAAGCGACACGCCGTGTCGACGCAATTGAGAGAATGTGCCACAGCTTCATGAGGTGTCATTTGTCCATCACTAATTTTAACTCAGAAAGCACCAAAAAGATTTCATTCAAAGTTTAAAATGGCTGACCTCAACCAAAATCCTGCTATGCATTGTGGCCAAGGGTCAATGACATGTGTACACAATTGTATGTATACACATGTATTTGATCGCTTACTTTTGGACATTTTAGGGGAAGCTGAGCTTCCCTTGCAGTCTTAGAGCAATCGCCTCTGGTAAAGAATGACATCGTCACACACTGTACATAGAGCTTTACCAGCGACATCTCGCGTCGTGAATGGGTATAATGTCAAGAACCCGAAAATAAGATGACCCCCACTTTTTCAGTCTTATTTCAAAGCAAAACGCACCGTCTTAGATTCAGGCCAATATGGTACTTCCTCGCTTCCTTTTGCTCTGTTTTGGCCACTATTGGAAGCTGGCTGTATTGTACACCTCTTGGTCCAGCAGAATCATATTGTCCCACATTGTTTTTATGACACCATGTACTGTGTGTCTGTCTCCTTGTGTTTTTAAAGTTGTCAAGAAAGTTAAAAAAAAAAAGTACCGTAATTTCTGGACTGTAAAATGCTAATTTTGTCACAGGCTTTCAACCCTCCCACTTCTTTCATGATGCGGCCTGTTTAAATATTTTTCTAACGGCCACCAGGGAGCGCACGAGCAGAAAAGGTAACAGTAACGCTGTCATGTGTCACAGTGAACAGAACTGGCCACGAGAGGGCGCATTACACCTATTTTGAGCTGGACTGCAATCTGAAAGCTGTGTGGCCAGTTCTTTGAGAGACTTGACCAAACATCAAATCATTTTTAAGAAGGCTTTATTCACGACTGAAAATAGAAAATGCTCAGCATTCATGAAATAAAAGACTGAGATATGTCAAATTGGACTAACAAATAGAAAAGTCTACAAAAATAGACAACAGTAGTAGCTTGTGAGCACTTTCGGGCATGTTGTATGTGTAAACATGCGGAAAACAACTAATCTCCCCTGCTTTACGGTTGTTCACAAGACCCACCATTCGACACCGTTCAAACTCCCAAACAACAATATTTTACTCTTAATATCAGCCGGGTTACACCGCTGACTGCAGATACAGGGAAACTCCTCCACAACGAAACCTACATGGGTGAAAATAACCCCCTAGTGTGAAAAAATCTTCATGCATGAACACCATTCCCACTTTCCTGCCCTCCCACCATACAATGAAAAAAAAACCCTGTTGTGTTGTACGAAATCTTTTTCTCTGCTCTTGACTCGCGACGAGACTCACTACAACGAAGTCTAATCCAACAGCAACCTCTACTGCTTCGTTCGGAAACGGCAACAGCAACCACCACACTGGTTTACACATGCGCAGTAGTCCGGGAAGTATTTGTTATTGTTAGTTTCAGACGCAGCAAGAACGTTGCATTGCAAAAATGGCTACAAAACAGACCCTTGGATATCAAGCAGCTAAGACAAGAAGAGCTCTGACGCTGGGAGAGAGGTTAAAAGTGATCAAAATGAAAGACAGAGGAAGCAAAATAAAAGACATTATCCAAGAAATTGATCGAAGTGAAAGTGAATGTTGATCGTAAATTTCGCAATTTCCTTCCCTTTTTTTCTTTCTACGCTGACTATAGGAAGTGTCAAATAAGTGTATGCTCATACTTAAGCACGATTGGAATAAAAATAAACAGTACACATACGTTTGTGTGTGCGTGTACACATACGTTTGTGTGTGTGCGTATGTGTGTGCGTATATGTGTGTGTGTGTGTGTTTACATTTGAGATCAAATTTGCGACAGTGAAAAACTCCTTGTGAAAAATTTCTTGCTGCGAACATGATTTCGTGGTTGAGGAGTTTCACTGTACATCAGATCTGAATAAGCACAGCTCAGCATTCGTCTCACTTCACTTCCTGGTCCAAGTCTCACGAGATTTCCCACGAGATTATCAAACGCTCCTTTTAAAGTAACAGTGCTCCATTTATTAAAGGAGGCTGCATTCACGACAAGTCATAGTACACTCAGTATTGTTCACCTGGTTACATATGCCAAAAGAAAACCTCCCGAAAGACATTGTCGTGAAAGTTGACACTGAAGCGTGGATGGTAGAAAGCCGAATTGAGGAATGGCTGACCGAGTGTTACAGCAAGCAAGGATTTTTCCTTTTTTCTTTTTCATTTTAAAACAAAGCATTATTCGACAGGGAACTTTTTTGTGTGCGAGTTCTGCGTTCAGGCATTATATGTAAAGAAAAGTTAAGGTATGTAGGTATGAAACGTTTTGAGTTTGGCTTGAGAGTCAAGAAACTTTGCTCCATCCCTCTTTCCAAACTCCATCGGCAGGTTGGACATGATTTTTTTTTCCAACTGCACCCAAATTGAGTTCACCCCAAAGCCCTATTGCCCTCTTCTCATAACTAGACATGTAAAATATTTTCTTGTCTCTACTTTTAAAAATGAATGTACCTGTTGAGTTTTGTCCTTCAGTGCTCACTGCAGCCATGTCGTGGGATCCTCTGATGGCTTGTCTTTCACAACCTGGAGGCAATATCATTGTTAGGTCTCTCCTGTGTTTTTTTTAACACTCACTTTAACACCCAGGATTGAATTTGTTTATTTTCGGGAAGTGAGAATGTTGGTTATCCGAATACAGGCTGGAGACGAAGCTTTTATTTACAGAATATTCCGGGCACCAATGAGTTACAGACAACGACTGTAGCAGATCACAAGTGCAAAGACACAAAAGACTCACAACATATTTATATTATCAGAAGGGCGGGAGCGAAACTGTTGTGCATCATCGGAACTTTGCGCTAGGCCGGGGGTCGGCAACATGCAGCTCCAGAGCCGCATGCGGCTCTTTGGCGACATCTAGTGGCTCCCTGGAGCTTTATAAAAAATGTTTGAAAATGGAAAAAGATTTTGATAGTTGGCTAATATAGTATAGCTCAAATAGATATAAATACATGTTGCAGCTCCGAAAAAGGAGAGCTGTGGTGTTGGTTTTTTAAAACGTACACTTTATTAATGCTTTGAACAGTCTCGACAAAGACAGACACGTCTGCTTCCGACTCCGTGCCTTGTCTCTTGTCGTTCGACTCGAGAGGCGTTCAAAGACAGCCTCAGAAAAACGGAAATTAATGATCACTTCACTGACACTAAGAAAAGCGAAAATAATGCACCAAAACAAAAAATCAAGCGAGGAAATTACAAAATAAATTCTATGGGCGCGTTTGTGAACACACAACAAAGGAACGAATAACAAACAATTCTGAGACAGTCCAGTCTCCTACTTACATACGGCATGTGTTTCCTTCATTATAAGTTTTATAGAAGGCTTTTATTTTTTTTGCGGCTCCTGACATGTTTGTTTTTTGTTTTTTTTGTCCTATATGGCTCTTTGAACATTTTGGGTTGCCGACCCCTGCATTCGGCAATACATTTCTCTTTACACCGGTTCGAGCTGGTATCGACTGGCGCATTCGTATGCCCTGGGCAACAATTTAGCAAGGTTAACGGATGAGTTGGCATGCAAAATATTTTTTGTCTCTACTTTTACAAATGAATGTACCTGTTGGGTTTTGTCCTTCAGTGCTCATTGCAGCCATGTTGTGGGATCCTTTGATGGCTTGTCTTTCACAACCTGGAGGCAATATCATTGTTAGGTCTCTCCCGTGTTTTTTACACTCACTTTAACACCTAAAATTGAACTTGTTTAATTTCGGGTAGTGAGAATGTTGGTTATCCGAATACAGGCTGGAGACGATGAACAGTTTCTTCGAAGCTTTTATTTACAGAATATTCCGGGCACCAATGAATTACAGACAACGGCTGTAGCAGATCACAAGTGCAAAGACACAAAAGACTCACAACATATTTAAATTATCAGAAGGGCGGTAGCGAAACTGTTGTGCATCATCGGGACTTTGCGCTAGGCCGGAGGTCGGCAACACGCGGCTCCAGAGCCGCATGCGGCTCTTTGGCGACATCTCGTGGCTCCCTGGAGCTTTATAAAAAATGTTTGAAAATGGAAAAAGATTTTGATAGTAGGCTAATATAGCTCAAATAGATATAGATTAATGTTTCAGCTCCGAAAAGGGAGAACTGTGGTGTTGGTTTTTTTTAAACGTACACTTGATTTATGCTTTTCACAGTCTCGACAAACACAGACACTTCTGCGTCCGACTCCGTGCCTTCTTTCCTCGTTCACTCGAGAGGCGTTCAAAGACAGCCTCAGAAAAACGGAAATTAATGATCACTTCACTGACACTAAGAAAAGCGAAAATAATGCACCAAAACAAAAAATCAAGCGAGGAAATTACAAAATAAATTCTATGGGCGCGTTTGTGAACACACAACAAAGGAATGAATAACAAACAATTCTGAGACAGTCCAGTCTCCTACATACATACGGCATGTGTTTCCTTCATTGTAAATTTTATAGAAGGCTTTTATTTTTTTGCGGCTCCTGACATATTTGTTTTTTGTTTTTTTTTTGTCCTATATGGCTCTTTGAACATTTTGGGTTGCCGACCCCTGCACTAGGCAATACATTTCTTTACACCGGTTCGAGCTGATATCGACTGGCGCATTCGTCTTCCCTGGGCAACAATTTAGCAAGGTTAACGGATGAGTTGGCATGCAAAATATTTTCTAGTCTCTACTTTTACAAATGAATGTACCTGTTGGGTTTTGTCCTTCAGTGCTCACTGTCGCCATGTTTTCGGATCATCTGATGGATTGTCTTTCACAACCTAGGGGCAATATCATTGTTAGGTCTCTCCTGTGTTTTTTACACTCACTTTAACACCCAGAATTGAATTTGTTTAACTCACTGAATACCATCGTTTTTCACTGGAGCAACCCCCTCAATCCCTCACATTTTACTGAATTTTGACTGATTTGCAAGGTCCACAGAATTTTCTGTTCTACGGCTATATAAACATGCAACCTGTCAAAAGAAAGGTTAGTCTCTCTTCTTTCAGCAGAAAAAAAAGTTTGTTTCTATCTTTCTCCGTTCGTTGGCAATCAGCATTAGAAAATTGCTAAGATTTTCTTCAGAAATCCAGAGAAAATGAGCTTTTTGTAAAAGCATGCATTTCAAGCATCATTTCAAGTTTCACACTATTTTTTGATTTTGTGACAGCTCAAATACCTCAATAAGGTGTTCCTCCGACAAAACAACATTACAAAAAATGTCTTTATCACAAAATAATTTATTTGCACATAACAAAACTATTGAACTATGAACAAACGTGCAAATTGAATGAACGAAAGTGCAGCTGTGAAGAGAATGGTTTATGGCTTCCATCCAGTTTGTCGCCACATTGATTCATCCCCACCACGTCCAGATGCACGACCTATAAATTATAGAAACATAAAAAGTTGCAAATATATATTGCTGCAGAGTGAGGTGGAATACTTTTATTTACCTTTCTTTCCACCACCAAAGCAAGGAGTCGTCATCTTTTGGCTTCTGGTTGGACGATCTGTAATTTATAGAAGTATGTACAATTACCACACTTTTATTTGTCTATTTTTTTATTGTTGCTATACACTTACATTTCAACATCTCTCACACACGTATACATGTTCACACACTGCTATTTACACCATTGATTCCACATTGCTTAGCATCCAATTTGAAATGAAATGGAATATGAATTTAACACTAGTGGTTTTTGCAGAGCTGAGCGGACCAAATGTGTCCTGTTTTTTTTGTTTGTTTGTTTTCAATCTATGGCGACACGCAAGTCAGCACATATACGGCACATATTTTCATCCACATCTACGAGACGCATCAACCATACATAAATGATTAGTGTTACTGGCACCCTTATACTGTAGAGGGGAATGGAGCGGTGCATAAAACTAACTGATGAGGCATAAGAAGTGATGAAGTTTTGAATGGGAAGTTGCAAACTCGTCAGCAGTTACCTCCTCGTTCCAGCGGCTCTGGCGAGGACTCTCAGCTGCTTTCCGTTATGTCCGAAGGCACTTATTCGTCCGACAGATCCGGATCCAAATCGCTCTACAATTCATCATCTTCGCCGTCGCCATTACGAGACGATTCCGGTGAATCGCTGACGTGTGCCCGGCGTCGGCCACATGCAGCCTCTTTGCCGTCATCGCTGGCACAAAATGCTCTGCCAAGCTTTGGTCTGGGACGTGGAGCATGTTCATCTTCATCAGATGAACTCGAAACTCGGCGTGAGCTATGCGGGCCGCGTGTAGCACGCGATGTTTGCGCAGGCCGTCGTTTGACGGGTGCTGCTTTCGATTACGTGACCGAAGCGTCATCTTCTCTTCCACACAAACACCATCTCCTTTGTTGTTTTGTTTCGAGGACGCTTTTATACCGAAAAAAATAATCCTCAAGTGTTAGTTGTTTCCTTTTCTCGATCGTTGCTAGTTGCTAATGTTCCAATCCAGTAATCCACAATCCACATACGCCCATCTACTACTTCTGCGGCATGATCCTGGTGGACCTTTGCACCACTGTCACCTGATGGCCATTTTTTTCGTATGCCCTGGGCAACAATTTAGCAAGGTTAACGGATGAGTTGGCATGCAAAATATTTTTTGTCTCTCCTTTTACAAATGAAGGTACCTGTTGGGTTTTGCCCTTCAGTGCTCACTGAAGCCATGTTTTGGGATCCTCTGATGGCTTGTCTTTCACAACCTCAACTCAACTCAACTGTATTTATAGAGCACTTTTTAAAACAACTACTGCTGTATACTAGCTAGTTAGCTAGCTAAGTGGTTTATTCTAAGCGAAGCCAACAGCTTTTGTTGGGTGCTCTAAATAAAGACATATGGGTGCACAATATCACCTGTGACATGTCCTGTTGATCCAGAATATTTTATTTGAAACCCGTGTCTCTGAAACCCGTGTCTCTGTATCATTTCCTGTGACCTGGTCCTAAGCTACGACCAAACATTAACGTAAATTGCGTAATGTGCCGCATTTACGCAGTAACCACGTTGAATTAAATTCACCAAGAATATCCGTAAGGTGTTCGCGATGCCGTCATCGCATGTACATAATAACCGGACTGCTTACGCCGCCTTACTCGCCGCTGCGAGAAGTGAAGCCACCAGCAGCCAACTTACGTTGCCAATTTTCCTATTTTACCCGGACATTTACGCTTGTTTATATCCTCTCTGGATGTCCGGACGAAATTTTATAAATTCATGAAAATGTCAGGCGTGTACTGTTTTTCACGGAACTAATTAGTATATGTCTAATGTGAATGATGTTTTGTGGAACAAATGAGAAGCGGAATGCTTAAAAAATACATATGAGCGGCAGAATGCACCGTGACCGGCATGTGTGACGTAAGACTGAAGAACCCAGAAAAGAAGGAAGCGGTAGTGAGCCAAAGAGTGTGTGGAGCAGGTCCGCTCAGTTACAAGCGTGAGAGCCATAGAAAAGTGTTTGCAGCTAAAATGAGATGGACTGAAGCCAAAGTTGAATTAGCAAACAATAAGTCATCCCTTTAATTCGTCTCTATCTCACCGCTGTGGTTGAAGTCAATGGACTGAGAGGTCCTGAGAGAACCTGGAGGCAATACCATTGTTAGGTCTCTCCTGTCTTTTTCAACACTACTTTAACACCGAGAATTGAAATGTCTTTTTAAAAAATTCACCTTAACACCCAAGATATATCCATCCATTCTTCCATTTTCTGATCCGCTTTATCCTCACAAGGGTCGCATGACCCAAAATATAGAATACCCAAAATGTTGCTGATTATTGGTTGATCTTACACACACACACACACACACACACACACACACACACACACACACACACACACACACACACACA